TGTTAATAGTCTTCTGTAGCATTTCTCCAATGAGCTAAATTATAAAAAGTAAAGTAACTTCTGAAGGCATAAAAGAACCCTTCTCTGTGATCTTGGGCTTTTTGAGGTCCCACAGGTGATCCTGGAGCTGGAAATTTATGTATGATATAGCATTGTCTGGATTATTATAATGAAAAGAAGTCCAGAATCAAAGTCACAGCCTAAAAGAACATTCTGGGGTCCTGTTAGTGATACTGATCCAGAGATACTGTGGCAATGAGCTTTCAGAATTTGCCCTACACTGTTAAAGTTCTCACCATTGTTGAAGTCAGGAGACCTGGGTCTGAGTCCCTGCTCCTCCATTTATGATAAGTCAAGTCACATCAACAAACAAAATTCACTAGTTGCTTGTTATGTGCCAGGCACTGTTAAGCCCTAAGGATTTAAAGAAAGGAAAAAAGCAGACTCTGGTCTCCAGGAGCTCACAGTCTAATGGGGGAGACATCATGCAAACAACTGTGTTCATACAAGATATATGCAGAGTGATTTTGAGGTACTCTCAGAGGGAAGGAAAGTATTAGCAATGAGAAGGAAAGGCTTCTTGCAGAAAGTGGGATTTTAAATTGACACTTTTAAAAAATTTTTTTATTTTTATTTTTAGGCATTTGGGGTTAAGTGACTTGCCCAGGGTCACACAGCTAGTAAGTGTCAAGCGTTTGGTCTGAGGTTGGATTTGAACTCAGGTCCTCCTGACTTCAGGGCTGGTACTCTATCCACTGTGCCACCTAGCTGCCCCTTAAATTAACACTTTTGAAGGAAACCTGGGAAACCTTTAGATAAGTGATTTAACTTGTCATTTGTAAGTGGGAATTATAAGGATTAAGTTATATATCTATATCAATCAATAAACATTTATTTAGCATCTACTCTGTGCCAGGCACTGTGCTAAGTGCTAAAGATACAAAAAAGAGGCAAAAGAAAGGCTGTCCTCACAGAGCTTATAATGTAATGGGGGAGCCAACATGCAAACAATATATGCATGACAAACTATATACAGGATAAATATGAGATTTTTAGTTTGGATTTGAAGGAAGCCAGGGAAGTCAGTTGGTGGAGTTAAAAAGGGAGAGTATGGAGGACAGCCAAAGAAAATATCCAGAGCCTTTATATGGAGTGTCTTATTTGTGGAATGGCCAGGAAGCCGTTGTCACTAGATCAAGGCGTACATGGTGTAAGTAAGGTGTAAGAAGAGTAGTGGCTAGGTGTTTGATCCTGAGGGCAATAGGAAGCCACTGGAGTTTATTGAGGAGGGGAGTGGCGTGGTTGGACCTGCACTTAAGGAAAATCACCTTGATGGCTGAATGTAGGATGGATTTGAGTGGGGAGAGACATGAGGCAGGCAGACCCACCAAAAGGCATTAGTCCTGGCAAAAGGTGATGAGGGCCTGCACTCGAATGATGGCAGTGTTGGAATGAAGAAAGGGACATATAAGAAATGAAGGGACAAGGAAATCAGCGGGCTTTGACCACAGCGTGTGTGTGATGAAATAGTGAGAGATAGTGAGGAATCAAAGAAAGGTCCTAGTTTGTGAGCCCTTTGGCTTCTTTGAACCTCGTACAAGACTTTATATTTATGCCTATTACATTTCATCCTATTAGATTTGCCCATTGTTTTAGGCTGTTGAGATATTTTTGAATCTTGACATTGTTCGCTATCCCTCTCCTAGGTTCATATCATCATTTATAAATTTGTTGAGCATGCCGTCTCTGCTTATCCAAGTCATTGGTAAAAATATGGAACATGATACCAAGGGCAGATCTCTGCTATAATCCGTTGGGTCAAAAATAGGATCATAGATCCAGAGCTGGGAGGAACCTCAAAGGCCCAACCCCCTCATTTCACAGATGAGGTAACTAAGGCCTGGAGAAGTTAACTGATTTGTTTAATACCTAAGAATTGACCCCAATCCATTAATGACTACTTTTTGGATCTGGAGAGTTGGCCAGTTCTGAATTTACCTGTGTCATCGTACATAGTCCACATTTTTCCATCTTTTCTATGATAGCATAGGATGTTCTGTCAAATACCTTTGCTGAAATCCATATATTCTGTGCCTATGACATCATTCTGGCCTACCAGTCAAATGATTCTGGCATGACCTTTTTTAAATTAAATCATTCTTTGCAAATCTTAAAATATTATTGTTATCATGGAGAAAAACATCTCTCTCACAATACATGTGAGAATTTTGTTAGGAGGAATTGAAGAAGAGTGATCTATAATATTAAGACACTGGGGGCAGCTAGGTGGTGCAGTGGATAGAGCACCGGCCCTGAAGTCAGGAGGACCCGAGTTCAAATCCAAACTCAGACCAAACATTTGACACTTACTAGCTGTGTGACCCTGGGCAAGTCACTTAACCCCAATGGCCTGGAAAAAAAAAAAGACTCAATGTTTGTTTTTTGGAAGTGTAACTGTATTTTCATTTCAAGTATTATGGCTCCTGTTCCCTGTTTTCTCTGATTTTCTACAGATTATCAATAGCTGATCAGTGTATATGAAAGGCAGAATAATATAATGAGTAGAAAGGTGGCCACAAAACCAGAAAGACCTGGGTTCAAGTTATACCATGGACACCTACTGGTTGTGTAACAGTGGACAGTGGACAGAGCTTTAGGCATTTCTCTAAGACTATGTTGCAGAGAAAGTACTAGCCTCCATTGTTGTTTGGGGTTTCCTCATCTGTTAGTTCTCTGTGGTAATGACATCACAAATCTAGCTCCCATCAACTTCTATTATTCAGATTTTCCTTACCCTCAAATTTAGTCTATCTAAACATATAGATGCCATCTCCTCACTTAGTCACTTAATCTCTCCAAGATGATCTCTCATCATGAAATAAGGAAATACGAACCTTGACTGTTACACTTTAATCCATCGCCTAGTAATGCTTATTTCTAAAACTGACTCTGAAGTTCATTCTCTTTTTTATTGTAAGGCAGAATTTTTTTAGTATGGTTTTCATATTAGCTATCAGTTTGTCTATGTTGATGAAAGTGTTTGGAGATATAAATTTTCCTTCAAGGACTGTTTTAGATCATCTCAAAAGTTTTAGTATGTTGTCTTACTGTTGTCATTGTAATTGATGGAGTTATCTGTTGTTTCTATCATTTGTTCTTTGAACCACTAATACTTTAGGGGTTAAATTACTTAGTTTCCATTTGTTTTAATCCTTCAAAGACTCTTTATTGATCATAATTTTTATTGCACTGTGGTCAGTGCTTTTCTCTGTTTATGAGATTTTTCTATGTCCCCCATTCCTTTGACCCAGAACTTAATCAATTTTTGTAAAGGTATCGTACATAACTGAGGAAATACATATGCTTTTCAATTTTTATTCAGCAATTACCAGAGATTTAGCATATCCAACTTTTCTTAAATTCCACATAAGTCCTTAACTCATTTCTTCTTTTACCTTTTGTTAGCTTTGTCTAGATCTGAAAAAGCATATCTCTGATCATCATAATTTTACTATCTTTGTTCTTCCTGTAATTTAATTAGCTTTTCTTTTAAGTACTTAGATGTTATGTTATCCCATATGATGATTTTCAGTATAATTTAATTTGCTTCCTAATATCTTTTAACCATAACTTTTATTGTTGTCTTATTGGAGATTGATTGACTCTTCTGCTTTTTTGAATTTACCTGAAGCATAATAAATTCATCTCATCTCTTATTTTAATTACATAAGCCTTTAACAGGGTTTCTTGTAAACTATATTGCTGGATTCTGCTTTCTAGCCATTCTGCTACCCTTCTCTTCTTTGTGGGTATATTCATTTCATTTATATTTATAGTTATGATCATAATTATATATTTCCTTCCATAATATCCTTTTATATTTTTTATCTCTCTTCTCCCTGTCCCACCTTTTACCAAAAAAGAAAGAAGGTAGGGAAAGAAAAAGAATGGGATTAACATTAGTAGTCTATAGTAAAATTATCTGATCTCACTCCTTTGCTAAGGCAGAACTAAGACAAGTTGTTTTTTTTTTTTAACATTGTGCTTTAGCATTAAAAAATGAGCAGTTGATTGCATATGAACAATGTTGCAGAAGATTTTACTGATTTGTTTTAATTGGATATAGTTTTATCATACCGAAAGATCTACTCACTTTATTCAAGCTCCTGATTTCTGAAGAGGAAGTTTTGGCATTAAGTGCATTTTACTTGTAATAACGGAAGCATTAAATGAGAAGCTCTGTTTTTCAAAATCACGTAGTTCACACATTTGGTAACATTTCACAGATGGAAGAATTGTAACAAAGGTGGTTAACATATCTACTCATGTATCTTGCATGTTCCTACGTATATAGATGTTGTATCCCTTTATTGGAATATAAGCTCCATGAGGGCAGGGACTGTTTTTTGATCCTTTTTTTAAATATCTCTAATGCTTAGCTCAGGGCCTGCCACATAAATGTTTAAATAGATGCTTATTGATTGATCTATTGATTTCTACATTCCACACCTGAGAACTGTTCATTTCTTTTTTTTTTTTCTTTTTGGTGAGGCAGTCAGGGTTAAGTGATTTGCCCAGGGTCACACAGCTAGTAATTGTCAAGTGTCTGAGGCCGGATTTGAACTCAGGTCCTCCTGACTCCAAGGCTGGACCTCTATCTGCTGCACCATCTAGCTGCCCCAAACTGTTAATTTCTTAAGCAGAATTTTTAACACTTGTGCCATCTGCATTTTATTAAGGTGACCTTTTGTTAACAGTGGTTAAATAGAGGTGAACCTTTGATCTGTGAGCTCTGAGTCAAGACATACACTTTCACCTCTAATTTTTGTCCTATATCCTTCATTCCTACTGGGACTACAGATGCCTCATTACTCTGTGCTTTTGTTCAGACAAGTATAGACCACAATCTAAAATGTTGATAGGAGAGTAAATTTATTTGGGCCAAAACTAAAAATACTTTTTTTGGGGGGGGGTATGCTTTTTTTTTTCCTTTGTGGAAGGAAAAAGGAGTGGAATATATGAAGAAAATTCTTGAATCTCCATGTCCCAAAGCAAGGCATTTAAAATATGCGGCTGCATACAACTTGGGAAGAGCTTTTCATGAAGGACAAGGTGTTCCACATAATGATGAGGAAGCTGAAAGGTAATCCAAACTCACAATGAAGCTTTGTTTTTATGGGCTACTGATTTTTCATGTAACATGACTATGATTTCTCTTCTTTCTTTAGACTATGGCTTTTTGCTGCAGACAATGGGAATCCAAGAGCTAGTGTCAAAGCTCAGAGTATCTTGGGATTGTACTATTCTACAAAAGAGCCTAAAGAGTTAGAGAAGGTAAGTTACTTACCTTATTTTTTTTAACGTGATATTACCTTGAGATTAAGAAGTCATTCTTTTTTTTTTTTTGCCTCCTTTTGGGTGTGTGCTTTGAGAGCCAAACCTAGTAACGATTAGGTTTGGGACCCTTAACAACCCTGTTTTTCATTTGACAAATTGCCAAATTACTTCAGGTGAAATTAGCCTTTTAAGAATTCCAAGCTGATACACAAGATTTTTAGCAGAAACATTGACAAGATCATTAATTATAGTATATTTTAAAACCTAAGAGAAAACATGGGAAGAATCCTGAAATTAAAATGATCTTTCAAAATATGAAAAGATTGATTACATTATAATGGATAATATAATAATGCAATAATAATAATAAATATAGTAATGTAGTAGATAGATTCTGTATTGTGTTTTTGAGCCTAGTTTCCTCAGCTGTGAAATAAGAGGCTTGGACACTAGATGATCTCTGAGGTTCCTAATAACTATAATGGCCAATTAGTCTAGGGGTAGAGTTTCTTAAGTAAATCATCACCCCACTTCCCCCTTAAAGTAAGTGATGATGCCCTGATACCTTAAAGAAGTGAAAACAAATCTCACTCGATCAAACATTTTAGATTAAGTGCAAAATCTCCTTGGGGGAATTAGCCTGACATTGGTAGGAAAGGTATGCTCAGTAATGCTCCATAAGTTTTCTTATATTGTTAAAAAAGAAAAAAAATTTAAACTCCAGCAGAAACATGGTCTCTCCTATTTATGGCTGGCAGTAGAAACATCAGCTGGAAAATACTGGAAGGGAGCAAACATTATTGTCCCTGATCCTGTTAGTGAGAAGTAATAGAAAACTTTTTTATCTTTTTTTTTTTTTGGCAAAAATTATCTCTTTAAGGGTACCTACCACTAAAACCAAGGCCATGCAATATGAATTATTATTAGTCACTTAGAAATATCTAGATATAAACCACAATTCAAAATTATTTAATATGATGTTCAAGCATTTCTCATACTTACTAATTAACACTATCCCTGCTTTGTCTGCATGAAGGAACCAAGATTAAAGGAATGAATCTGATAGTGTCCACCACTCTTTTGTCTTCAACTTCCACTGACTTAAACTTTTTATCTCTTCCTTCTCTTTTTAGTTTTTTAAACATTCCTCTGAAATCTCCTTGCTAAAGGTTCTCTGTATGTACTATCTCATTATAAGTATCTCAAGGGCTTTCCCTCTTTCTCCATTCCTGTTGGGGGAGATTACAGGAAAACATGATAAAATTAGGCCACTTGGTGATTGGTAGTGATTAGGGAAATGACTGAAGACTAATACAAATCTAGAAAAGGTAATCTTCTCTTTATCATTACTTAATCTGTTTTAAGTAAAAGAAGTAAGAACATTTCTGCAGTCTGTCATAGGGATGCATATCTGCATTGCTAGACAAAAATGTGCGCCGAAGGTACTGAACTACTCCTAAGTGAATGACAGTAATTGCTGTCTTTCAGTCCTGTCAGACTCTCCATGACCCCATTTGGGGTTTTCTTGGCGAAGACACTGGACTGGTTGGCCGTTTCCTTCTCCAGCTCATTTTATAGATGAGGAAACTGAGGCAAACAGGGTTAAGTGACTTGCCCAGGGTCACACAGCTAGTAAGTGACTGAGGCCAGATTTGAGCTCAGGAAGACGAGTCTTCCTGATTCCAGGCCTGGCCCCTATCCACTGCAGTGCCACCTAGCTGCCTTCCACCACAGTGATACTTAACACTTTAGTTCTTCAGCCACCTCTGATTTCATTGGTGTGGATACTCCTTTCCCCTCAGAGAGAAGATGAACTCCTCTATCTATGTCTTCTAGAGTTGATGAAGCCCTAATGCTGAAGCTGTTCTTGTCTTGAGGCTGTTTGCCATGTACTTTACTTAGATGAGCTCATTGGGTCTTCACCAGATTCCTGTGAGGTAGATAGCACAACTAATGCTAACATTTTACAGATGTGGGATCTGAGGGACAGGAAGGGTAAGAGATTTTTTGGCTCAAGGTCACAAAGTTAGCAAGTGATAGAGCTAAAGTCAAACTAGCGTCCTCTGATCCGACATCTTCTGCTGTTCTCCCCCCATACCAGCCAGTCAGCAGGTATTTATTAAGCACCTGTCAGACCGTGCATGCATGTGTGCGTGTGCGCCAACCACTGGGGACAAAAGTGAAAATTAATTAGCTCCCATCCAGAGAGAGTTTCTCTTTTAATGGGGGAAAGATTTATCTCTCTAGGTATGGGCAGGACACATACAGAACTGATACCAGATGATCTTAGAGGGGAAGCTGACAATAATTGGGGGAGGAGGCCAAGAAAAGGCCTCTTCCCCCCCACTCCATGTACTTCATTTAAAGTATTAGCTACAGTTATTTTTTAATGGCAAGTCGTTATTGAACTTTTCCTTAGGCATTTTTTTGGCATTCAGAAGCTTGTGGCAATGGAAACCTGGAGTCCCAGGGTGCGCTTGGTCTCATGTACTTTTATGGACAAGGTATTCATCAAGATACTGAGGCTGCCCTTCAGTGCTTGAGGCAAGCCGCTGACCGTGGGAATGTCTACGCTCAAGGCAATCTTGTGGAATATTACTATAAAATGAAGTTTTTTACAAAATGTGTCGCATTTTCAAAAAGGTAAATAATTTGGATGAAAATATTTAAGAGACTATTTGCTAATGATCTCAGTCAAATCGATGTAGTTGTAGCTTATGTTCTGTAGCACTTGACAGCTCACACAGTGCTTTCTTCACAAGCACCAATGGAGACAGGTAGTACAGTTATTATTATTCCCATTTTACAGAACAGGCCAACAAAGTGTCCAAGGTCACATAGCTAGTAAGTGGCCAGGCCTAGGACTGGACCTTGGGTCTCCTGGTCCCAGAGCTAGTCTTTTTCCGCTCTGGCACCCTGGTAGATGCTTTGTTGTGACTACGGAATCCAAATACTCTTTGGTGAGTTCTTCAGCAGGCCAGCATCCATTTTTATATATGTGTGTGTCTGTCTATGTATATACATATATATTTATAACTGTATTTTAATATAATTGTTTTCCTTTGTAATCTATGTATTCTATACATTTACAAACATTATTCTGAGAAGGGGTCTACAGACTTCACTAGGCTGTCAAAGGGGTGGTCCATAACACAAAAAAGTCAAAAATCCCTCTTCTAAGGTAAGGGCTATCACTGGTTCAAAATAGTAGTTAAGGATTTTTTTTGTTTTTGTTATTGTTATTTCAGTCATGTCTGACTCTTCATGATCCCATTTGGGATTTCCTTGGAAAAGATACTGGAGTGATTTGCCATTTCCTTCTCCAGCTCATTTTACAGATGAGGAAAATGAGGCAAACAGGGTGAAGTGACTTGCCCAGGGTCACACGGCTAGTGAGCATTTGAGGACAGATTGGAACTGAGGAAGAGGAGTCTTCCTGGCTTCAGGCCTGGCACTCTATCCACTATGCCACCTGGCTGCCCCAGTAAAGGGGTGTAGGGGCCAAATTCCCTTTATCCATCGGAACCTTGTGCCCTGGACCACGAGGCTGACTGTGCCCAGCTCTTTCCAGCTCTGCCCCTCCTAAGCTAGGTCTGCATTTTAAAGGAAGGCTTCCAAGCGTTTTGCAGTCCTCTGTGTCCTCAGTCTGACTTCAATACTAATAAAGAGAGGGAAAGGTGCTTTTTAATTTATTTTAAAAACTATTTATCAGGAAACGTTAGACCTGAGACCTTTGGAATTGAAAATATTAATAGGGCCATTGTGAAGGAGAAGGAAAACGTGTCTTTCCCTTTAAAAGTATTTCTTGAACGGATCTGCCACTACTGAATAATGAAGGAGAGCCGATTCATTCAGAATGGCTGGGACTCTATTGTAGACGAGGGGAAGTTTGAACCGTTTTTGGCTATGATCACTTCACGGGCCCCCAGGGTTAAAGAGACACAGTTATTGAGTATCGCTCCTTCCTCGTGAGCAGACACAGTCAGGCAGAAAGCCAGTTTTGAACCTTTCACATACAGAATCATTTATATTTAAGAGGCTTGGGGACTTGTAAACCTCTTAAAACAATTTTCTAGTGCATAGGGACTGGACTGGTGACAACTCCCAAATGAGGAAGCCCCCCCCTTTCCATTGCAGGTTAGAGTTTTCTTTGCAATCTGTAATTTTAATGCTTTGCTAGAGCTCCTGTGCCCAGGTTTACACACTATCAAAGGCAGAACAGCTTGGTGGCCGACTGTCTGTCTATTACACCGTCCTGCCTCTAATTTTTTTTCCTAGTATTCATACTTTACAGAGTTAAGTCTGGTAAAACCAAGGGGGATGGGAGGGGGCAAAATAATGATAGTAGTTTGGATGTGTTTGTTTATTGTTCCCTTATGACAACTTTGTGAGTTGCCTAGTGCAAATAGTAGTATCTGCATTTTACAAATGAGAGAACTAACGCTTAAGGAGGTTAGGTGATCTTCCTGTGGTTATCCAGTTAATAAATACCAGAGCTGGAATGCAAATTCTCCCAATTTGAAACCCAGAGTGCTTCTATCCACTTTAGCACCTCATTAGTTAGTCATCTTCCCCAGGTACATAAAATCAGTCCAGTTTCTGAAGAGAGGTAGATACACATGAAGTTCCATGTGGAACTTGATTTGTGCAAAAGGACTTGATCCACAGGGGTCTTCTAATGTTTAAATGAGAAATGAACACTTTAAACTTCATTCTAATTTTGCCATTTCTATAACAGGATTTCTGAATATGATGTCTGCTATGATGTTCCCACAATAGCCCAAATGACTGACTGTCTTCCTGAATATATAACCAAAGGCATAGCGATGGCTTCCTTCTACTATGCAAGGTGTCTTCAGCTTGGCTTGGGTATCACAAAGGACGAGGCAGAAGCCAGAAAGTATTATTCCAAGGCATGCATCAAAACAAACTGGAAACTCCCCCAAATATTTTCTTCTTTTAGTCGAAACTTTAAAGCCTTGGATTTGGGTGTGGGTGGTGTTTCTTTTTTTAAATTTATTTAATTTATAGTACTGTCAACTTCCAGCCATCTATAAGAAAATTCTGAGTTGCGCAGTATTTGGAAATCCATCATCATTAAAATTGTAAAGCAGAATAGATGAGGTCCTATAGTGATTATTTTCTCTTGTTCCCCGTTTTCCATACAATCTGAAGCCCTCAGGTTGACTTTATGAAACAAAACTTTTATTTCTCTCAAAAAATTTGACCTATACAGCTCAGCTTAAACTGATCCTTTATATCAGTCTGAAGGTGATATTCTGTATGTGAGAATGAAGGGAAGGACTTGGCTTTGTGTGGATCCCTGGGCATCTCTGCAGAGGTTGTTTTTCCTGCATTGTAGCTGCTGTCGTAACTAATATGGGGAATGTATATAGACAGTTTTCTCCCTTCCCCTTCCTTTTCAATTTTAAGTCCAACTGCCTCCTTATTTACAAGTGAGGAAACAGACCCAGAGATGTCCAATGACTTGCCCAGGGTCACAAAGGAAGTTAGTTAGTAGAAGAAACTAGATTCAAGCTTAGGTCTTATAACTCTTAAATCCATTTCTCTTTTCACTGTTGTCCATGCTTCAGGCCAAAAAGCCCAGTGTTTCCATTTTCATTTATTTTAATATGTCATAATTTAAAAGATTATCACTCTAAGTTTGACAGTTACTTTTGCCTTGGCCCTGGTGGGACCTCCCCTGTCTTAGATGATTTTTGGAGGTTTATTGAACACTAACTCTTTTGAAGCTAAAATATTCCTTGTCAGTCAGGATTGGATTTTGAGTTTGCCCTGTTCCTTTGAGGAAATCAGTATAGAAATACATCTGTATTAAGAAATTACTTTGAAATTTAATGTATTTTAATTATATAAAACATAAACGTAAAATACTTGTTCAAGAATTTTTATCCAAATAATATACCATTCCTTTTTCTGTTTTATTTTAGGCATGTCATCTGTGTCCTTCACTGGCTGATGAACTTTACTCTTTGGTTATTTGTCAAAGAATTTAAGCTATAATACATAGTAGCAAAGATGAGCAACTCCTAATTATGTGTGTATTTTTTGTAGTAGTTTTATATTTCATTTTTCTGTATATGTAATTATAGGAATTTTACTCAGCTGGGCATGTTACTTATGACACCATCTGTGCTCTTCAATTCAGACACTCTGTCTTTCACAATATAAAACACAAATTAATGTCATGAAGTCCTTGGGACCCCAGGAGATGTGCTGGGACTAGTAAGAAACTATTCCATATAGAAAAACACATTTTAGAAAGAGAAGTAGCCTTCTGTGTTCTTTGAAATCACTATTAACTGTTTTTTTTAAAACTATCATTGCTTGCAACCTTCTTCTATATATTGTTATTCTAAGATATTAATTAAAATGGGTAAAAATAAAATTCTGTTTTCTGGTGCATTCTACTACAGACACCTGCCACTTTCATGAAGAGTTGGAGGTAACCAAATGAAACAAAATTTATTCCTTTGTATTTTAACCAAATGTACTCCATGACTATTTAAAAATATTTGACACTAGGTGGAGTTAGTAACAAAAATGGGGGCAAATATTGGATTAAAATAAGTCAATTCATTCAACAATAAAAACTGAAAGTAAATGCTATTTTTGTACAGTACCTGTAAAGCATGCTCTATTTCAGTGACAGAGATGAAAAAAAAATTTCACAGTGGTCAAATTTCCAAAAATAATTGCATTAGAAGTTTGCGTAAAAATCGTTGTCTCAAAGAACAGATGAAGAAACATACTTTCTCTCCCCTTGGTAGAGTTTTGGAGAGCTATAGTGTGAGGAATGTTACATATAATGTCAAAAGCAAATCTCTTAAACTTTTCTTTGATAGAAGATAGAGCTCATGGCACAGCCAAGGAATTACTACTATAAAAGCATAAGATTTCCATAAAACTTGTGGAAAAAAAGGGCAGCATAAAGATACATACTTCTAAAAACAGATGTAATGGAAATGATGTGACCAGGGAAAAGACAAATATGCCGTTTGTGGCAAGGCTATAGCAAACCTATAGCTATCCTAATGCCTAGATGATTTTAATGAAGAATGACTTTTATCTTTGGGATAGATGAAAAGTACTGGCTGGTGTTTGACAGTAAAGAGGTGGTTTGTTTTATAGTTTAATTATTCAATATTAACATTTTCCTTAAGGGATGAAAAGGATTTTTAATATTGAGACTAATGGGTGTTTTCAAGTGGTCATCCTGCTACGTATGGGCAAAATCATATTTAAACTATTCCTGAAAATGAGTCATCTCCTTTCTTTAAAAATCTTTAATGTCCAGAGCTTCTTTATTTATGTACTCCAATATCTCAAAAACCAGTTATTCAAAGAGTTTTTCTTAAATGCATTTCATGTTCAAAAAATATGCCTTACAATATTTTAAAGGCCTAAATTTCAGCAAGCTTCCCTTCCTTCCCAAGACTTGATAAACCCAGTTCCCTTACCCGATATAACACTCAATCAATATTAATGAGTTTTAACCAAATCTGCTGTCTCACTTAACCTAAATGTGAAATTGACTGCTTACAAACTATTGTCTCAGGTGTGTCTCAAAAATCCACACGTAGGCCAATTTTTCATGCCCACTAATCAAATAGTTCGTATTTCAGTTAACAATCTTAGCCAGCAATACCTACATGCCCTCAGGGAATGAGGCCCTGAATTATAGATAATTCACTGAGTCCTGGTTCTCATGATTTTTCAAAAGCTGAGTAAGGGTTAAAATGAATAATTCTTGGTCTCGGCTTTGGAGCTCCACCAAAACAGAATGACCAAATAAATATTTCACAGTCTTATTCCAGCTGACCAGTCAAGAGCAAAGTACCCTTCCTTTTTGCACCTTTGCCCTGTGGTTGGAGATGCGGTCAGATTATAAAGTTAGGCAAAGAGATTTTCAAAGCTTCTACAAGAGTATTTGCCATTCTTTATGGAAAGTTGAGCATTTATTTTAAAAAAACCCAGTAATGCTGCTAAGAGCTAGTAATGTTATGAAACATTTAGACACTAATATCACATTTCCCCAGAGTGCTGCCTGATAATGTAGAAATAGGACTGAATTCGAGATGAAAAAGCAGCCGAATCAAGTATACAAAGAAGTCTATGCTGGAGGTGATGGAATTTTGGAGGCACTGATTTTCATGAGAGCTGAAACAAGAAAAGAAACGAAAGACACAAAGAAGAACCTCACCAAAAAGATGGGACCAAAAAAATATAAACTACTGGCCACATACCTGAATTCCCAGTGTTACTAAACTGAGGTCATCCTTGATGAAGGCAGGAAAGAGGAACAAGCAGGATTTCCCCAAAATTCTCTTCTATTCTACATCTTTATAGCCAATACAATTGACTGAAGGATAAAGAGAAAAGATGATCTCACTGTGCTTACTGACTATAAAAATATTTGAAAGGAAATTCTGCTCTAAAGACTTCAACAAACTGTCTCCCATATGTCACAGTCATCCAAGATTGTTTGGAATATGGAACAATATAAATTTTCTCAACAACCTTTTACTTATGAAATATCAAGCAAAGTGAATAACACAAAAACATATCCTCAACAAAATTGTTCATCATTGTCACAGAGAAGGTCTCAGACAGAGTCGGTCAGGTAAATAGCGGGTCCTCAAGATGTTCCTGTTTGTGAATGATTTTATACATACTGCATCAAATTCTAAAAAGGGAGTTCTTAAAAGCTTTCTTTTGCGTTCTGGACCTCTCTGGAAGCCTGGTGAAAGCCTATGGACCCCTTCTCAGAATACTGTTTTTTTAAACGCATAGAATTAAATACATAGTTTTTAAAATTACAGATATATCACTATGTAATACAAGTATTACATTATATTGAAATAGTTACCAAAACATTTTTTTCTTTTCTTTTCCTTTTTTTTGGTGAGGCAATTGGCATGAAGTGACTTGCCCAGGGTCACACAGCTAGTTAAGTGTCAAGTGTCTGAGGTCAGATTTGAACTCCTAGGCTGGAACTCTATCCACTGCGCCACCAAGCTGCTCCCAAAACATTTTTTAAAACATGCATTTATCTTAGGTTGAGAACCCCTGGGATAGAACATTTCAGAGCATCCTGAGATCCATGCTCATTCAAAGAGGTTTGGATTAACTCTTTACTCATGAAAACCAGGTGGATGAAGAATGTCTGTGGTCCAGAGGATAATGTGCTGCTGGAGATACAACCCACAGAACGGGTTCATTAGTACATCTTGGACAGATACTGCAAATGGATAATGAGCTGGGCCCAGAACTGATTAAGACGGGAACAAATACATGTTGGATTGCTTTTGGGAAGCCACAAAGTTATTTTAACGACTATGAGTTTCTCCTTGAATGAGAGACCCATCTTTTAAACACTAATATTGATCTGGTTATGTCACGTGGCTGTGAGTCTCAGAAGAACAAAGTATCATCCAAAGGGCAATGAAGAGGCACATGGTAGGTACAAGCAGATCACACACATAATCAAGGAATTACCCAGGAAAAATGGGGTAAAGATGAGCTAGTCATGTAGAGGAAGAGAGTAGCAAGAGACAGCCTGCATGCTCCCTTGGTATCTACTTAGTATCAAACTGTATGGACTCCTTGTGATGGACTTGTGGGAGGACAAAGATGAGAGTTACACCTAATGAGTAGGCATGGATGAGTAGTGCCATGCATTGCTGGAAGGAATAATGACACAAATGAGATCATAGTCCATTGGGAAACATTAGAGAATAGAAGGTACTTTCTGATTTGTACAACAAGCATGTTAGGTGGTTAAGGCAAGTGTTATTCCCAATTTACAGATGAGGAAAGTGAGGTGTTGAAACTTGGCTTGTTCTAGGAAGCATCAAAGGCTAGGACTTGAATCCAGGTTTTTTTGGAGTTAAAAAGATGATGAAATCTGATTTGTAAGATTCAACTTAATAGCCATAGGTTAAATCATAGGGTAGAAATCAAGCCAGGGACTGGACCAGTGATTCATTGGTATGATGAATTTCAAACTTCCAGATGAAGATGTTCCCTCTGCCAATGCAGGTTGGTAACTTCTTTGTAACTTGTAGTATTAGAGAATTACCTTGAGTCCCCTTAATAAAAGGATTTTTTCTGTGGAGTTTGGATTCAGTTAAAGGGCCACACTTGAGGACCTAAAGGGCCACATGTGTCCTCGAGGCCATAGGTTCTCCACCCCTGGTGCTAGACCCTTTAAAAGTTAAGTGACTGGCTCTGGATCACACAGTATGCATCCAAAGCAAGACTTGAACTCCGGTCACTGGAATGTATTTTGGAGTTGTACTTTGTCTTGATATATCCAAGTCCTTGCAGCTCTCTGAAGTATTCCCTACCTAGAATGACCCAATCCTTTCACAACTGTTTAAATTCTACTCATTTTTAAAGTATAATTCACATCCTACTTCCTCCAGGAAGGCTTCCCTGACCACATCAACTAGAAACCACTGGACTTCAGTGACTTTGATGACTCTGGAGGAGAGAGGCTGATGACAATTCACATGTAAGTCAAGACATCACCGTCGTGAGGTCATTGGTCCTCTTCGAGAACGAAGGACCAGCAATAACAAGTAGAAGTGATTGCTCCCTTCTCTGTTTCCACGACATGGCTTACCCCAAGCACTCATTTGGCACTTGCAATTTCTGACCTTGTATTGCTATAAACAATTATATATTATCATTAGAGAGCCAGCCTAGTTAATTTTGGAGAGGATTAACACGAGTTTCACCACAAGGTAATGAATTTTTAAACTGCAGAAACTTTTGGGGGGTGAAGGTCAAATATTTTTGAAGTGCCATAACCCATGAGACTGCAAACTCTTTGATAGCAGGGACTGAGTTTTTTTGTTTTTTTTTTTTGTATTTTCTATAACACCTACTAAAGTAATACTTGTTGATTGGTTAAAGTGTTGGGACTCACCTAGTCATGGTCAAGGTATGTGGGGTCCTTCATTATTTATTACTTACAAATGTTTCAAACCATGGGAAATCTTTGGTAAAAATAAAAACAATAAAAATATCACAATAGCTTTCACATAAACTATTGCACAACAGTGCTCTCTGATACACAGGAAAGGAGAAAGGAATGTTTAGAATCCTTAGTGAGGAGATGACCTAACTAGCATTCATTGGCTTTTACCACTTTGAAACAAAACCATTTTCACATATGTTTAAAATATTTCCCAGATTCTTAACACTTATATCAACAATCAGTTCAATCAGTATTGTGAATTTAAGGTATTTGTATAGCTTTTTATTTAAATAAAAACCAATAATTACACAGTGGCGTGTTTTCTAGCTGACTACAGCATTAAATCTTTTCAAGTCTGTTTACTTCACATAAAACTAAGGGAAAAAAAAACTGAAAATAAAAACCAATAT